CAAGGAGGATGAAGCTAAATCAAGCTGTCATACAGTAAACACAATGCATCAAGTCTGTGTACTGAGCAAACTTAGGGTAACATAAACATCATAATCAAGAAGAATAGGAACATCTTACTACTGAAAATGTCAGTTTACGCTCAGATGTTTTTGACACAAGATTTATCAGGTATGGAAATAGTACTGAATCTGCAGTATTACTTTTCACCTAATGTGAAGGTTTTACCGCATAAATCTGTTGACCTTTTTCTGTAAGTGTTAAATTTGTTTTATACATGAATTTTCATGTGACTAATTTGATAATTGCACCAATTGAAAAAGTAAGTGTCACACTTCAAGAGTTGGGTTTACCACTAGTAACAGTTTGTAAGTCAGTTATGTTTTGTCAGTTTGTGTGGGGGAAAGTCCAAAGAACCCATGAACAGCAGAGCTGCCACAGCTTAGTGTCAGGGATCCATGAACAGCAGAGCTGACACATCTAAGTGTCAGGGATCCATCATCAGCAGAGCTGACACATCTAAGTGTCAGGGATCAGTGATAAGCAAAGCTGACACATCTAAGTGTCAGGGATCCATGAACAGCAGAGCTGACACATATAAGTGTCAGGGATCCATGATAAGCAGAGCTGACACATCTAAGTATCAGGGATCCATGATAAGCAGAGCTGACACATCTAAGTGTCAGGGATCCATGATAAGCAGAGCTGACACATCTAAGTGTCAGGGATCCATGAACAGCTGAGCTGACACATCTAAGTGTCAGGGATCCATCATCAGCAGAGCTGACACATCTAAGTGTCAGGGATCCATGAACAGCAGAGCTGACACATCTAAGTGTCAGGGATCCATGAACAGCAGAGTTGACACAGCTAAGTGTCAGGGATCCATTATCAGCTGAGCTGACACATCTAAGTGTCAGGGATCCATGATAAGCAGAGTTGACACAGCTAAGTGTCAAGGATCCATGAACAGCAGAGCTGCCACACCTAAGTTATCATAATAATTGTACTGGTGGAATACTGGTTAATTCATGAATTCACAATACATGATTCTCATCTACAAAGTAAAGAGTGTAATATTAGTGACATCTTTGGGAGAAATTAATTATGTCCTTGCTAAGGCTCTTGCAGGTACTTGAGTTCTCAAGACAGGTCACATCTTCATGTCAACACTTGTTGCAGACATGGAAGAGAAACAGTAGTGTGTGTATGCATTTTTACAAGAAGACACAAAGGGGATAAGACAAGATGTCGATTGTGTGGCTTGATACCTTACTGAAAATGGGCACTCAAATCTTGGGCAGGTTTTAAAACATTGGAACGCATTTTTTCACCCCTTTAGAGCCATAGACATAGCTTCCCTTTCAAACAGTGCCCTGATTTCTTTTCACCAGTATAACTGAAATGAACATGGACATTCTGGGTTTGCATGGACATACATGGAACATACTTGTGGAAAGGGAGTATATGGATCGAACCAAACCTTGAACTTACCCTTGAACAGAATATCAGATTTCAGATATTGCAATACTTAACATGAAAGTAAACTGGAAATGAATAATTACTACTAAATCTTTGTATCAATCACAAACCAGAGGTATATTAAATTTAATTAAATATTTAATTAATATTCATTAAAGTTGTCTGATGAACCATTGATATCTTAATCAGAACAGTATTTCACATCACTGACTAAAATATCTCATGACGAACAAGGGTTGAAAAGGAAAACAATTTTCAAATTTTCAGATAGAGATCTACATATATATATAATGAATTTCAGTGGAGTATGAATATGTCAGTATACGATCGGTTTGAAACTTTGTTCAAAAGCTGTTGTCTCAAACACACCATTTGTTTTGTAACAGATGTGGAAAGAGTAGTCACATTGCAACAGCTATGAAGCAGGGTATATGACCCACTGACTATGTACTTTCACATCTGTTATCTTCTGATTCTGGGTTTTGTGCAGTTAATCGTTAAGGATAAAATGGCAAGTTAAGCATTTACAATAGTATTCTGCTTTTGTGATGAAATTCATTATTCTAATGAAATCCTGTTCTCAAATTAATCTTCTCTCATATTTCATAATTACTTATTTCATTTTGTGTATTTCAAAATTATATAGAACTTTTCATTACCTATATTTCAAATTTTCACACCAATACATATAAGAATAAACCTTATCTTTATAATTTATTATTTGAACTTGTAAATTTCCATATGAGATCATGCCTAAATGTTTTAAGAGTTAAAAGGATACCAAATAGTTAGGATACTCCTTTTGACAATGTGCATTAAAGTGCCATCAAGATCATCAAGATCATCTATTACAATTGTCCCCTTTTGGGATGAGAATTGTCCCCATCACTCTATGCTAGTAAGAGGTGACTAAATGGATTGGTTTGTCAGACAGAATATGTGTCATCATATCCAATGGCATTTTCCGTTTCTCATATCAATCACTGGTTTGTCTGGTCTAGATTATTTACAGACCATTATCACAGAGCTGGAATATGGCTGAGTGCAGTGTTATAAAATAACGGTTACTGATGCTTTGAGTCTTGTTGAATTTCTATTCAGTGCTTTATGGACCCGTGAAGATCCGGAGTAGAAAAGGTCTTCAGCAACTCATACTTGCCATAAAAAGCGACTATGCTTGTCGTAAGCGGCGACTAATGGGATCGGATGGTCAGGCTAGCTGACTTGGTTGATGCATGTCATTGTATACCTACTGCGTGGATCGATGCTCATGATGTTAATCACTGGATTGTCTGGTCCAGACTCGATTATTTACAGACCACCATCATATAGCTGGAATATTGCTGAGTGTGGCGTCAAACAACAAACAAACAGTGCTCTATGTACTGTTGTCCTGAAGGACCAAGGTGAAAGGTTTCTTTCCTTTCCCTGGTAAGCCTGGTGATTGTGCACGTCACAGTTCTCTTCCTGCATACATGTGAAATATGCTCAATCCTCAGTTAACAAGATTAAGACGAGGACTCTCTCCTGGCAAGTTCACCACTAACCTTCAACTATTTAATTCCACACATTAATTTTGATTCATAAATTCTTTAATACATTCCCTTTATGCTTATCCATGTTTTTGGCTGCAGGAAGAGCACAAACTCCAAAAAAGTACTTAACATATGAACTTAATATGCTTGGGAGGTAAGATTGAAGATTAAATTTATTGACATAATATCTTTGGCTCATTACTCTAAATTGCTGCTATTTTGGTTAAACAAACATTCTAAGCGACCCTGAAGTAATCATGGTCAGAGTATGTTACATACTGCTTGCTAATAAGCTGATATCAGCATTATAATTATGTACATGCATAGTAATTGTCCAATAACAAGAACAAGTTAAACTCCAGATTTTGTGAAATATGTACGTAAGTCTGCTGGTATGTTAGTGTGTTCCCTGTCCAACACTGTGGAGTTTTAACCAGATATTTTAAGTAATATCAAGATGAAGTGCAGCTGAGTATCATAAACTGAAAGTTAAATTGTAAAAGATTTGTTGTATATCAAACAAAGATTGAATAAATTCAGTTTTCACAACAGAGTCTTAGTTGAAGTAAGGGAGTTATGTCAGACAAGTGGTATGGTCGCTTTCTGGAATGGGTCATGTCTGATATTCCTTATGGCAAAACTTAATGTGTGAAGCATCACAAGGTTTTTAACTATATCTTTACTGTTGTCTAACCCGTGTCTAATCATAGTACTGTTTTGATGTCATCGGTGGAATAGTTCATCAAGGGCATATTGAGGGAAAGATATAAATATGGTTATTTCTATCCATCTGATACAAAATCAGAACATTAATATGTGATGATGAAGCAGCACTCAAGGTTGATTGGGTCACTGACCATGTGATGTTGAAGCAGCACCCCAGATTGATTGGGTCACTGACTATGTGATGTTGAAGCAGCACCCCACATTGATGGGGTCACTGACCATGTGATGTTGAAGCAGTACCCCACATTGATGGGTCACTAACCACATGATGTTGAAGCAACACCCAACATTGATGGGGTCACTGACCATGTGATATTGAAGCAACACCCCACATTGATGGGGTCACTGACCATGTGATGTTGAAGCAACACCTCACCTTGATGGGGTCACTGACCATGTGATGTTGAAGCAGCACCCCACATTGATGGGGTCACTGACCACATGATGTTGAAGCAACACTCCACATTGATGGGGTCACTGACCATGTGATGTTGAAGCAACACCCCACATTGATGCAGTAGACAGGTTCCTCCCATGGCTGCTTGTGAGTCATCATAAACTAATGGTGTGGAATGCTGTTCATGTTATCAGTCATTGGTTGTCTGCTCGAGACCAACCTATCTACAGGCTGCTGTGATATAGAGCTGATTGTGGCAGGGTTAGGCAACATTGTGCCTAATTATTGTTACCTGTCCATAGAAAATTACAAGGAATAACTTTTACTTAGGTAAAAATGATGAGATTCTGAAGAACAAATAATTTCAATTTGGTGGCTTGTAAATGTTATCAGATATTTTCAGCCTATGCTTTATAAATCCTCATTGCCATTCATCATCAACTGTCTTGGCTTGTCACAGTCAATTTTAAGAAATGCCGAATTCAAGTAAAACACTCCCTTCTTCACATTTCGAAAAAGACTGGATAAAATCCTCATAATTTATTAATGGTAGGAGAGAAAGCAATTTGGTTAAGACGGAGATCTCTAATTATGTGTGTGGTCATTGTACCATGTTCTCCATGTCCATGATGAAGATGGACTGACTATAAGCAGATAACCAAGCATATCCCTTCTCTGATATCAATGACAGTTTTCTTATGTATAGACCATGACACTGGATCCTTCATGTTCTAACATTCCCTCTGACAATGACGTATCATGACATGGTTTTCCCTTAGTATTCTTTGCAGAATGTGTATGTGTTTCAAGAAACAGCATGTTTACAGAATAGCAAGCAAAATGAATAAAATATTAATCTTACTGTGGTCCGTTGGGGCATGGTTGCTTGTTTTCCACTTGTAGTAATCTGAAATTATATAAAATAGGCAAATCCTTTAAAAATTCATGTATCATTTTTTTCCCATAAGAGACTTGTGTCCAGGAGAAATACACACAAAAATAAACAAAAAATAAGAACTCTCCTACACATGTCAATGAAAAACACATGTCATTGTGGATTCATACATGTGTATGAAAACACAATATTTCTAATCCAGTTTACATGTTCAATCAGATAAACATGTTAGATCATTCAGGATGTTTGTTTAAGTTTTCAATAATACTAATCTCAATTTTCATTTTCTTCCTTATTTACACAAGCATTACTTTTGTATAAGAAAAAAGAATGCAAGAGCATGACATTTTCCTGATTTGAAATTTGTTAGGCTGAATTATTCCTATCAAGTCATGAAATAGTTAACCACTAAATACTCAATTCCATTTTCTGAAGAAATGTTGAAATATTTGAAAATCAGAAATGGACAGAACAAGCAATATGACTATCTAAAACAAGGATGTTTCTACCTCTATATACCAAAAGATATGCCTACATAGACAGCAAGTCAATCAGCACCTCAACTTTTTTTGCAGAAAAAATGTTTATAAATATTTGCCTCTGCAGAATGAAGGATAAAAGGTAAGTTCAACCAACCATTCACCACCAAGGTGAAAGGTCAAAAGGGGAAGCTTTCATCTTGCGACCTACATCTGCAGGCATGGAAAGATTGCACATTCAATTAAACGCTGTACATCTGTGCAGCTGCATGGATGCACAAATCCACGTTCCCTGATTATCTACACAGGCAAACCATCAGGGATATACCACACAGATTCCATGCTTGTATTTGCTGAAGAAAATCTCGCTTGTGATGTGCACAAAAACTGTCTCAAGTCATCCAGCAATGAGAACAGAGGCTTGATCAAAGAGCCATTTTAGCCATGGAATATATTGACATATTTCTATTCCATGGTATAAAATAAAGAAATAAAAACTTGCAGTATCAAAGAACAAAGCTGTTTGATGTCAAGCTAAACTATTATTTCATAAGGTGAAGACACTATATTTGTTATGATGCATATCTAAACAAAGTGAGCTTTTGGAATTGAAGTAAACATTAATATATTTATGCCTCATAACAACTAAAAACACTGTAACGCTGTATTTTCCTAATGAATACATTAACAAATATTATCATATTTGTCAAATTCTTTGAACATGATATTTTCACACTAAATGTTATGTAAGAAAATTAACTACATTGTCAGCTTCAAAAGCAAATATTCATACAAATATTATATTCTTCCTGTGTAGGAAATCTGTCAAATCATGAAATAGAATTGATTGTTTACCACATTGACCTAATCCCATATTTCATCATATTTCAAACGTTTGAGTCATTTTGACTTTTTCCACTTAAACATATTTTACCATCTTGCAAAATCCTCCTACCATCAGTTTAAGTCATGTACACAAACAGCTTTAATTTCTTTGAATTTGATCTATTAGATTATCTATGATAAAGTAGGCCAAAACATGACCTCTAAGACAAGTGCAATATGGGGTTAATTTCCGTACAGAAACAAACGATGCATTATTTGCCACAGGGAATGAAATAGGATGACAAAAAGGTAGCTAAATGACAAGTATGCATCATCTAAATGAAGTCATTCAAATGAAGACTGATTCATTTTATGACTGTTAAATAATGGGAAACTATAGGAATCAAGGTCCTTAACATGAAAGGTATAAAACATTTTGACATTCTATTTGTCAGAAAATATCTGCCTACACATATCATTTGATTAGCATTTACTCATACCCTTTCTACTGAAAACCATTAGTGGAACAACAGGTTCACATTTCAATCACATGTGAACTATTAACAATAATATACCACTTTTCACAAGCTGGAAATATTGGTAAATGTCTTGGTTCTGTTTCCTGTTGAAGTATCTATAATCAGTTCAAAACCATCAAACACTAAATACATGTATCATACAGAGAAAATGTGCAGACAGTGCTTATGCTCGTAGAAGTAAACGATACTGTAACACACCTTGGATTCATATTCAGACGACATATATACACAGTAACATCAGACATAAAATCTTGATATTGCTATACACATTTTCTATATACCAAATACTAGCAACCATAACCACTATCCATATTCACCACCATGCATGCAAAGTATGTAGTTATTCCCAGTAATAAAGCATTTAGAGTTATTTAATTATGTAACCTTTCAACATAATAGCTATCAAAATAGGGAGAGTCACATTTAAGTAACACTATTGATGATAAAACATTTGGTCATTGTTTACTTTATTTACTCTTTGCTTCACAAGGAACGTATTGGTCATTGTATTACTTTTTGCTTCCAGAGATAAGTTGGACAGTTGGATCTATGAAATCATATTCATAATATGATCTGTTCTCACTCATTCACAATAATAGCAGAGAATCCATGAAGTTACTGTCAATGACTTTACAATGCATTTTAAACCACTTACAGAGACAAGGACAATGATCTCATTGAACTAGTACCACACAAACAATATCTGTTACAATGCACTTTGTGATACTGACAGAAACAAGAAATTCATGACAAGGTAACACAGCAATGAAGATGTGTGAAGACACATTCAGTTGTAAAAAATAAACTTACAACATTCTCTTTAAAACCTTGATACCACACCTTAAACCACCCAACACGAAGCATGCAACATTGAATTGTTTAAATCAATTTTTCAGTTCTTACAAACACTGGCACATACTTGATATTTGAACCAAATGATACTACCAGTTGATACTGTTCCAGTTTGGTATTGACATTTATGAAACCATTCTCAATATTTTGGGGTTATTTTTAATGATACATACATTTTTTAGTTTGCTAATTTTGTCATACTGTTGAATATGATAACAGCATAATAGATCAATAATATCTGAATTGGAGAAGATTCCATACAGGAACTATTTTTAATGTTACTCCAGTTCTTGTCAATAAACCAGACCACAAGCAGGTAAGAAACATGCATATTAACATAAGCATAATTAGGTTGTATGAGCTTAATCTGTATAATTTGAAACTGCATTAATTTGGCTTTGATGGCCATTGACATGAAAGAATAGTATGGTTAATGTGTTCATTTATCACCACTGAGAATTAGCATTGAGTTCATTACATTCATCTTTGGGGCATCTAGTCTACAATAAAAGAACCTATACTAATAGATAATTAGGTATTTTTAATGGAACAATCTTTGGAAACATTTTACTGCTATTACAGAAATTAAGACAATTTGAAAATGATCATCAAACTTCATAGTTACATACTTGGGGTCAATAGCAGAAAACTGTTAAAGGACCATGCCAAAACAAAATTGTTTTCTTACATCTGTTAAACAAATGTTTTGGTTGGGTTGCAAAAACACTGACAGAAGGACAAATCAAATCCATTCAATTATGAAGATGGTGACTTCAAAATATTGCAAGTGAATGTATCAAATATATTCAAAATTCCCATTGTCAATTCATAAAAGAAACTTGATAGTAAAAAATCTACAAAGAAACAGATTTTGCATTAAGCAGCCTACAAAAGCATGTGTGCTTTCAGAAATATGAGCTCTGCAAATGCCAAATGCTTTTGATTTTCATAAATGTTGAGTGAAAGATTTTTATTGTTTCTCTTTTGATGAAATTTCACTTTTATCATAATACTTCATATTTTAATGAAAATATTTACCAAGAAAATGTTTTTTCACAGTGTAGCTTATGCTCAGATAAAATAGAAAGCATATAAGCTGTAAAGATTTTGTCTTAGAGAAATATAAGCAAAGAGAGAATTATCAGATTCATTAGGAATAATGCATAATTTAATTGGTGTGAATCAACAATATATTTTATGTTCAAACAAGCCTCTTGCATTGTATCACCAATTTGTTGACTCATATGTTAGTAGTGATATTTGTCTGTTTACATATTGGCTTATCCAAGGATGGTGAAGAAAGCATTAAAACCAGTGAACAACCGAAATGAAAAGTAGCACAGTTGACTTACCCATGTAGCCTGTGTCCCACATCGCACCTTCAAAATACAACATCATACATGAAAACCAACGCTAAATACACTCTTCCATCATAATGTATGTATTCTGAAACAGATATGTAGATATCCATGTGATGTTTGGTAAATGCTGTATTTCAGCATTAATGCCGACTTCATGTTTACAGACCTGTGAATATCCGGGGTAGAATAGGTCTTCAGCAACCGTAAAAATGGACTATGCTTGTTGTAAGAAGCGACTAACAGGATCGGGTGGTCAGACTCGCTGACTTAGTTGATGCATGTCATCATATCCCAATTGCATGGATCAATGCTCATGATATCAATCACTTGATTGTCTGGTCCAGACTCGAATAATTACAGACCGCCATTATATAGCTGCAATATTGCTGAGTGGGGCGTTAAACAACAAACAAAACAAAAATCATGTTAACATGTTATGCCCATTGTAACAATACAACACTTGAAGGTGTGATTCAACCAAATATTTTCCCCGACATTTTGAAGAAGGTTGATTGCAATACACTTGCATACTATCAACACATATGAAGATGATAGCTGTATTTCCAATGATGTGATCATATTCAGTAGCAAAAATGTCTTACATTATGAAGCTCACATACCATCGAATACAATTATCCTATGAACATAATTCCCGGATTAATACACCTGTTTGAAGAAATGCTTCATTTCACATTATTTCTGAATTGAAATTTCAACACCTCAGGGTATCATCAAAGGTTTGATTCTCTAATAGCAAAGATTGTGACACAGCAATGACTTCTGTACTTCACATATATGTCTACCTTGAGACTGAAATCTGAAAAGTCACCAATAACCTTTCACCACAAATGGAAGGACAACATCAACTGCTGAGTTCAGGCTCTGTTCAGACCATGAGCGCATGCAAGTATCTGTAGTCATTAAGCACAGTCCTTGGAATATTGGGTGTGTTTATGTCATTTTCATCAATGTTTGCAGCCGAGGTGGGACTGAACCCAGACCATTAGTGTGACAAGCAACCACCCCAACAACATGTCACACCACTAGCACTGAAAGTGTACTACTGCATGATCAACATATGCCATCTTGTTGTTAGCCTACAGTTGTAACACCTTATAGTAATGTTTTAACTGCAAAGTGTTTATGTACTCATTTGCAAATAAAATACTATATCATTCTTCTCATGACCCGTGAAGATCCGGGATAGAATAGGTCTTTAGTAACCCATGCCTGCTGTAAAAGGCAACTATGCTTGTCGTAAAAGGCGACTAATGGGATCTGGTGGTCAGGCTTGCTGACTTGGTTGATGCATGTCATCGATCCCAATAGTTCATGATGTCAAGCACTGGATTGTCTGGTCCAGACTCGATTATTTACAGACCGTCGTTATATAGCTGGAATATTGCTGAGTGCGGCGTAAAACAAGAAACAAGATTCTTCTCACATTGCTATTATGACCTTATTCGACTATAACAGTATACCCTTAATAGTAGAGATGAATATAATGAAATTTAAATCACATCAATACAATCATGGCAACTGCTTTTTACAACTTAATATCAAGTGAAAAAAGAATAAGAGAAGAAAAATTGAATTTAGTAAAAATCATTTGAACATCTCTCCAGAGTGAAATCATAGTCAAACAGCAAATGCAAACTTTAATAGCAATTCACCTGGGACATTATGAAACAATTACAAACACAGCTAAAATAAACTTCTCAATTGTAATGTTTTCCAAATGCAACTTCTAACTGTAAATGCATAACATTATAAACCTATCATAAAGAATCTCCATAAAGAAGTGACTCCATAGTCTGGTGTTAACTGGGACCAAGCATAATTTTGAAACATATCCATGACAGTAATTTTAACCTTACATCCATTTAACAAAAAGAAAAGGAGAATTACAAAAATATGGAGATATGTGTACTTACTTTCTAAGAGATAAATGACATGGATTAACATACCCATGAATACACAGAAAGTCAATCATTCTACATATGTGCACATAATTGTGCTGCATTTATATTAGTTTCTGTGTCATATCCTTGGGTAACACAACAGATGCCTCATCTAAATCTTCATCAACTGTCAAAAATGTCACATATATATTGACAAATTAAATGATGAACATTGTAGACCTGATTTTGAACTAAATTCATGATAATTCTTTATTATTGAGCAGACATTACATTTGGTCATTCTACTTCCACTTTGATCATGAGTACACAAGAGACTCCGTTAAATCATTGATTGATATTACTTTCTGATAATCTGACCCGGGTTTGAAGGATGGTATTTTTTCTTGCAATTACAATTTCAGATTGCCCTTCCCATGTGGGCAGCTCAATTAGTTGAAACGTGGGATCTTGTGCCTCATTAATTATGCATATTACCCTTTAGGGGGCAGATTTGGTGCCAACCAGATAAAGACCTTCACCTTCAACAAATGACCTGATGATGTGTAATTTTAAATGATGTCAGGATGTTGTTAAACCTCTCCTGAATACTACAGTAAATAGTCTCTATGTACCATTCTATGATTTACAAATAAAATTCATTTCGTGGAAGAAGAGTTTGGTGTTGAGTTCATAGGTTCAAATTTATTACACAATTACTTCTATGAGGATACTGTGTGCTTCCAGATTTAAATTTGTGTATGCTGGTATTTATGATATTGACACCTGTGTTTACAAGACACCTGTGATGCCAATCCTTGCTACTGAATCATACAAAACATCACTGGTACTATAAAAGAGATCTACTTTTGCCTGTCTGTAGGACCATGAGGCTCACATCAGTGGCAATTGCACAAGCTCTGTCTAAAAGAAAGCTACAAAACAAATATACTTCTTTAACATTTTGAGGTTCTTTGCATCTTCACAATGAAGATGTTGAACACTTGAAAGATTATTTTATTTTGGCTTTAGGAGTTTAGCGTATGCTACACTATGATGTTTTACTGTGATTGTTGTAGCTTATAACATAACAATGCAATGACATTTACCACACCCATTAGCAGTCGTATGCTTTATCTGTCTCTGTTCTTGATGACGACTGAGGTTTATTATCATGGAAACAAAGTACTTTTACATTTTTACAACCAAAATACTGTAAAATCCCCAAACAAACTGCATAAATATTCCGAAGAATTTGAATCCATTATTATCTAAAATGTTGTTACAATGTATTAAATCATTGCACATTTCATCAGAAAAGCTGGTTTGCCTTTAACTGGACAAGAAGTAAGATGACTCTCTCATTTATTTTCTTGTATACTGCCAGAATCTACACTTCCTTTGAGGATATCTGACCATCATTCCCACATCCGGTGTGATCATGAATGAATTATGTCACAAAATATCATTGTCAGGTGAAAGATAAAATCATTTCGTTCTGTGATAAATATTGTTAAACAGTTCCTTTGATAAGGAGTGTCCTTGAAAAATGGAAGGTTTGGAAAGAAATACATCATTGCAAACTCATTACAGGATAATCAGTGAATATAACAAAATAAAACTTGGACTTCTTGCAATCCGTATCATATGTCATCATCTACATCTTGAGTAAAGCTAAATTTATAAAGGCTGTTCTGAATCTTCAAGCCTTAGTGATTGAGGTATTCTTTAACAATTGAGGCATTTATTCAACTATTATATATTCTATATATATTGAAATTGAAATTGATCCAATGGTTGTTCAGATGTTCTGAGGTGACAAATATGTTCTATGATTATCAAGATGTTCCATGACACTGTCTATGAAAGTATCTTCAGACGTTTTATAATTATCACTGTCTCTGTGATTGTATCTTCAGATTTTTTATTGTTATTATTATTATTATTATTATTATTATCAATATGCCTATGATTGTATCTCCAGATGTTCTATGATTATCCATGACATAGCAACAGCAGCAGAAGTTCTAAGGTTACTGATGAGGACTTCTTTTGTCTTTCAATGTGAAGTTACGTTACAAATGCAGGTACTTAGATCAAGCAACTGATCAGCAATGGGTAGGACATGGCTATAGAGCTAAGTTTACATATATATTGTCAACAAAGCAACAAATAAACATGGGTGACAAATTACGACAAGGATGAACCCTGTAGATGAGAACAAGATCTTGTACCAGGCTTTCATCACCAGCATCATTTGTCAGTCACTTTATTTGTTGTTTTTTTTAATACATTTTATTGTTGACATAAATGTGATTAGATTTGATGACTATCATAAGCATTAATGTTTATTTAGTTCAAAAAAATGGCCAAGTACAATAAGTAAGAAAACAAGCACTTTCGAAAACATATGGGTGTTATTTCAAATTGACAAGAAATAAGAATCTTAATCTAAAAAGGTTTGAAAACATGCTACAGCTGGTAATGTTTCTACAAGTGTCAGAAATTGTTATTTCACCTATGTTACACAAACATCTAACAATATTGACCAAACACTGAATTTGTCCATAACTTCTGCTGGTAGAACAGTCTCACAACTTTTACTTCAATATGTTCTACGAGGAACAGTTTCTTAAAGAGCCCAGGTTTTATGGGTCAGATGATGATAATGATGATGAAGGGGGCAGTGGCTGCTGCACCGAAGATCCAGGTTCACTTTAGCGCATGATACAATGTGATATGGCTGGAATATTGTTAAAAGCATTCACTCCTTCCGTAATGATTATTAAATAAAATAATAAACAATTTTTGCACCTGTAGACAGGCAAAATTACTTATTTTTACAGAAACTAATGTTATTAATTTAATTTTCGGAACAAAGTTAGTGATGCATAACCTTTAACACATCATAGCAATAATAATAATTAAAGTTCTCATCATTAACTAGATGTTACAATGTTTCTCTATATATTGCATTGTGAAATGCATTCACTTTGAAATGTCATATTAGTAATATCATATTCATTATTTTAATAATATTCTAAGGTGATTATTAAGATATTTTAAAATAAATTATTTTTGATAAATCTTGTTGCAATTATGAAAGAGACTAATATGAAA